TGCAGAACTGCAGTCAGCTGAAGTAGCCTGCAGTGCTGCATTTAACCACGGCGCCACCTTGGCTCTACTATTCTACTATTTCCATAAATATAACATAATGACATAAGATTTCCATGTGCATTTATTTTTTCTTAGCAGTTTTTACTCATTTTCCTGTATTTTGTAGCCAGCTTTTGTAATGTTTTTAGTCTGTTTTAAAAATCCGTGGAAAAGCTTGTGAACACAGTCTGAGTCCTGGCTAGGCAGATAAATATTTTGACTTCACTTAGGGCATTTTTCTTTTTTCCCTAATTTCTAAAGTCATTACATTTATTTTATAATTATGTTTAAGCTACATTGTGTACTTAAAAATATTTGACTTTATTGGAAAAGTTTTCGAATATAAAATGCATATATAGTAATTGAAAAAATGTGTTCCAGGAGAAATTAGTACAAAATCTTCAATAGGTAATCTTTATTTTAAAGTTAATCACAATGTTATGAGTGAAAAATAAAATGTTTGGGCAAAAAATATTTGGTTTCTTCAAACCTATGTCTTCTTTTGTCTCACTAATTTTCTCCTTTACATGGCTGCGTCTCAGGATTTTCTTATTCCTCCTTTGTCCTCCATGTTCATTCTAATGCCAAGTCATGTCACATTTACTTTTAAAGACCATTACTTTCTTTTCTCTCAATAAAAAAAATTGGCCCATCTCCTGCTCAACTTGTTTACCAAAATATTTTGCTTTCTATTTCATTAACTCACTATTGTCTGTTCATATCCATTTATGATCCTGCACTTCACTGCCAAAACCATTCACCTGATATTTATTAATACCAAATTATTTATATTACTAGTGCTTAGAAAATGTTAGCTGGGGTTTGGCAGCATACAATAATTCTCTTGAGAACCAGATGTTTTTGGAGCATAGACTATATCATTTGGCAAGCTTCCTCTCTCTCCCTCTCTCTCCCTCTCCCCCCCCCCTCTCATATAAATTGGCTTTGTTTCCTATCTTGGCTTGGTGAAGGAAATGTTTGAACATTGTTTTCTTCTAGACAATATTCCAATCTGATGCCTATTAATGATTTCTAATATATTTCTTTCAGGGGAGTGAAAAGGCCAGTGAAAAGTAAAAATGATGCAAAATTGAAAGGAAAGGAAAGTAGTGCAATTTTTTAGGTAAGGAGAGGCGGCTAGTCAACAGAGACGCAGAATTGGACAATTCAGAAAGATATATCTAGAATGTGTATGGTCTTCACATAACTTCACAAACATAGTTTCACAAACCTGTCACATATCATAGGGTCAATAAGATCCCTATTATGAAAATCATGTTGGCAATTCTGGTATCATCCCACTCATAGCTAAAAATGGCAAATGTGATTCCAGACTTCAATTAAAATATAGTTTCCAAATTATGGGAACTAATAATTCTACCACTCTTGCATTTACTTAGTAATAACAAAGGCTAAACACTTCCTCTATTAGGAATTATGTTGACATGATACATGCATAGTTATTGTTACCCAAACAGAAAGTATAAAAAAAGTAAACATGATTCAAATAGTTTATACTATTTTTCAGAGAGAGTATATCCTTGAGCACCCTTGGAACGAAAGGAATTAAAGCTATTCGTTGATCATGAACACAAAATTAACTTTCAAGTATAATAGGTTCTTGTCTTGATGGTAACCAGAACTCTATGTCTTACTAGGTTGACTTTGTTGAA